GAGGAAGGCCCCAGGCAGGGGGGCTCTCTCTCTCACTCCAGGCGGTGGGGGAGGGCCCCAGGCAGGGGGCTCTCCCTCCAGGCAGTGTGAGAGGGCCCCCAGGCAGAGCTCCCTCCTCCAGTGGGGAGGAAGACCCCAGGCAGAGCTCTCTCACTCCAGGCAGTAATGAGGGAGGAAAGGTGAGAAGAAAGTGGGAAGATCACTCTTTTTTAAATTGGGGAGAGAGAGAAAGAAGACGGTTCAATATTTTAGAAATGACAGGTGAATATTTGTACAGTACATGTGGGTGAGAACAATTTTACACACACACACTAGGTCACGTCTCTGTAAATTAATTATAAGATTCAAAAGACCACATCGAAGAGCCGCCACCCCCCTGTGCCGAGGAGGCAATACTAGTGTCGGAAGGGAAGGAAGGAGGGGCAGTACTAGTGTAGGGGAGGGAGGGAAGGAAGGGCAATACTAGTGTAGGGAGGGGAAGGGATACTCTCACTCATTACAACACTTGTTCCCTGATTCACTGCCTTCATCAACAATTACGACAAATCACCCCCCTTAAATTATACAAAACAAAGTTAAAAGCCATGAATCTCTTATCAACAAAGATTAATTTACGGCAACAAAATCTCAGTAGTAACATGATAAACAACTTGAATTAGCTAACTACTGTATGAATTAAGCTAAACTTATATTGTAACAAGCAGTCCCTCGCCCACAGCCAAGAGATAAAACTCAACCGAGGTGAAATATAGTTAAAATTATTATAGGATTTGTTCTTCCTGGAAAAAAAATCACCTTGGTGTAATTTAATGATTTTTTTCTTTATCTTGAAAAAAAAATGTTCCCACTTTCAGCCTTTAAATCACCAGCTGTGGATAGCAAGGGCTGTGATCACCACCTCACGTATTATATAAGTTTACCCTTCGTCTGTTGCCGTTTTCTTTCTCATCCTTTGATTTCTGTTGACGCTTCACTAATGCAAATAACAGGAACAGCTTACATATGGCACTTGGCACTGCTTATAGTCCAGCCAGAGTGTCACTGTGCCAAGGAACATCAGTATTAGGCATTACAGGAGAAACTGAATACATAGGAACTGTAGTCGTTTTTTGTTATCTTCAGTGAGTCATTACCGTGTTGTTGTTCTCTCAATAGTCACTGTCTCTTGTGTGTGTGTGTGAGAACTGACACGATGTATGACTCATGAATATCACACGTGTCAGAGAAGCTAACTTTTCTGTCTATAAAAATATCACAAACTTAACTTCTCTGGTTAGGTTAGGTTAGGTTAAGTTAACGTTAGGTTAAGTGAGCGAGTACAGCTTCTTGGTTATAAATTGTAGTGTAATTAACGCCTTTGGTGTGAGAGAGAGAAACGGTGTAGCATCTCAAACAATAGCTTGAAATTACGGGGAGTTTCCAGTAATTACAATAAGTCTTCTGTTTAGAGTCCGGTCTTTATATAATGCTTAAATTCTGGCCAATGAGTCTCGTGGTATACTGGCCATGTAGGAATCCTGGCCAGATCTTAACCGCTGTCGTGGGGTTTGGGGAAGCTGCACAATAACTGACAGTGTTCAATGACAAACAGCGGAGCGGATGGCAGACCCATATATTTACGCTGGCCGCAGTACCTTCCTGCGTCGTCGCTGAGCGCGCGCCATACAGCTCTCGTTCACTATATATAAGATCTTCCTCTACATAATAACAGCAACAGGAGTGAACAAAACATGAACACCATAGAACAGTGAATAATCATCTTCGGAACATATTGTTAGGGGTTTTAAGACACTATCATTTTCCCGCGTAAATTTTGTAAACAAATCCCGGAAGACAAAAGACGCTCGCACCTTCCATTCATCTCAACGATCAGCGGTTTTTGTGAATGAATCTAGCCGCTGTCAGACAGCTGACGCCTGATACACAGCGCCACTTAGGCTGCCTCCACCATTTGTCTTCCTGGCCCCTGATCCTCCTCCTGATACCGCTCCTGGCCCCCCTCTCCCGCCCTCATCCTCTGTTTCCCTATTCATACACACTTTGCCCTGTTTCCCTTCTTCCTCTTCCACTTACCATTTATATACAATTACACTTTTTACTATGCATTTATTAGATCGTAAATGGATGCCTTCAGTATCGTAAATTATTTTATGGCATAAAATATTGTGTCGATGCTTTATTATGTATCATTAAGCCGACATAAAGTACTGCAAACTATCGTACACTATAACAACTATCGTACACTATAACAAACTATCGTACACTATGACAAACTATCGTACACTATAACAAACTATCGTACACTATAACAAACTATCGTACACTATGACAAACTATCGTACACTATAACAAACTATCGTATACTATAACAAACTATCGTATACTATAAAACTATCGTACACTATAACAAACTATCGTACACTATAACAAACTATCGCACACTAACAAACTATCGTACACTATAACAAACTATCGTACACTATAACAAACTATCTTATACTATAACAAACTATCGTACACTATAACAAACTATCGTATACGATAACAAAGTATCGTCCACCATAACAAAGTATCGAACACTATAACAAACTGTCGTATACTATAACAAACTATCGTACACTATAACAAACTATCGTACACTATAACAAACTATCTCACACTATAACAAACTATCGTACACTATAACAAACTATCGTACACTATAACAAACTATCTCACACTATAACAAACTATCGTACACTATAACAAACTATCGTACACTATAACAAACTATCTCACACTATAACAAACTATCGTACACTATAACAAACTATCGTACACTATAACAAACTATCTCACACTATAACAAACTATCGTACACTATAACAAACTATCGTACACTATAACAAACTATCTCACACTATAACAAACTATCGTACACTATAACAAACTATCGTACACTATAACAAACTATCTCACACTATAACAAACTATCGTACACTATAACAAACTATCGTACACTATAACAAACTATCTCACACTATAACAAACTATCGTACACTATAACAAACTATCGTACACTATAACATACTATCGTACAGTGTAACAAACTATCGTACACTACATCATAAAAATCCTTCCTTGTCAAAATATTTCCGTAACTGACAATTATCGTTCATTTCTATAATTTCGTAATTTACTATAAAATATTACACTTCATCATAAAACAATACACGTTTCTATAAACAATTTTACATCACTACAAAGTATTAAACGTAACAAAAAAGTATCGTAGTCTAATATATAATAAACAGTTATGCAAATATTGTCTATTTACATTATATGATTTTCACTGTAATATGAAAGCAGTTTGTGTCATATGTGAAGCAGACCTGACCTAACACGCTAGTTGTATTATTACTAGTACTAATGCGTAATTTTTTATTTATTTTCACGTAGGTTAACGCAACACATTATACATATAACATGTATAATCTAAGTGCTTCATTATAGGTCCTTGGTGTTAGAGTATGTATGAATGATATATGTATACAGTATACAGCCACTGCAAGAAGGACACTCATGAGTATCCCCCTGCTACCCCTTATCCCGCCCCTGCCACCCCTCCCCTGCCACCCCTTCCCCTGCCACCCCTTCCCCTGCCACCCTCCCCCTGCCACCCCTTCCCCAGCCACCCTTCCCCACCACCCTTCCCCAGCCACCCCCTCCCTGCCACCCCTTCCCCAGCGCCACCCCTCCTGCCACCCCCCCTTCCCCAGCCACCCTCCCTGCCACCCTTCCCAGCCACACTTCCCCAGCCACCCTCCTCCCAGCCAATTTCCTCCCCAAGTACACCCTCCTCACACTCTTCCCAGCCACCCCTTCCCCAGCCACACCCCTCCTCAAGCACTCCTCCCTACACCCCTCCCCTGCCACCCCCCTTCCACTTCTCCCTTTTTGTTATTAGTTATTTGGGCTAGAGCTTAACTTAAATGAGCCGTACAATTACCAGTTATATTTTTGTAGTGTAGATAAAATAAAACTGGACCAACCCGTTTTAGAAGGTCGCTGGTGTTTAGGCTTTAAAATACATTTGGTTTAACACAATGACCTTCAAGATGGAGTTAAATATTTTAGGAAGATTAAACTCCTCTTGGGTGAAGAACGTTAAGATATAATAAGAACACAGTGACTGGTCCCTTTAGATGAGGTCCCTTTAAACGAGCACAAGGTTAAAGAGTATCACGGGTCGTTTATGTTAATATTAATCATTTAAAACAAGTGTTGAATGTTTGGTCATGTTAGGTGATTTTAGAGACAATATAGAGATTTATTATTACAGTTAAAACCTCTAATTAACGGACTATATGGAGAGGAATGATCGTTAAATAGAGGGTCCGTTAAATATGAAACTCCCCATCTAACGGATTATAGGAGAGAAGACCGTTAGATCAAGGGTCCGTTAAATATGAAACTCCCCATCTAACGGATTATAGGAGATTACTTTAGATATTTAATTGTGTAAATAAAGACGATATATTTTAGCTAACATAAACTGCTTCAATATATCACTAATTTCAAAATAATGTTATATAACTGTTAATGTGTCTAGTTTTCGTTATAACATTATTAGTATATCTTCTTTTCTCTCGTAACCCTGTAACTATTAGTGTCATTTTTTATTAATTATATTATTATTGTGGTGTTAGTGATGGCGTCTGGTCCCCCCCACAGTGTCGCCAAACATCGTCATTATTAGTATATCTTCTTTTCTCTCGTAACCCTGTAACTATTAGTGTCATTTTTATTAATTATATTATTATTGTGGTGTTAGTGATGATGTCTGGTCCCCCCTACAGTGCCGCCAAACATCGTCGACAAGGCCAGCAGTAAGAGCAACATCGTGGTGCGGGAGAAGGAGAATGTCACCCTGAAGTGTCGCGGCGATGGCTTCCCGGCACCCCAGATCAAGTGGCGCAGGGAGGACAGCAAGCCAATAGAAACCTCAGATGGACGAAAAGGTAAAGTTTGATTGGTTAAAACGAGACTTTAGTTGATGATACGAAATATAGACGATATAAAGGATTCCTGTCTCTTATGATTTGAGAGGAGACTTGTCTAATGGCGCAGGGAGGACAGCAAGCCAATAGAAACCTCAGATGGACGAAAAGGTAAAGTTTGATTGGTTAAATGAGACTTTAGTTGATGATACGAAATATAGACGATATAAAGGATTTCTGTCTCTTATGATTTGAGAGGAGACTTGTCTAATGGCGCAGGGAGGACAGCAAGCCAATAGAAACCTCAGATGGACGAAAAGGTAAAGTTTGATTGGTTAAAATGAGACTTTAGTTGATGTTGATACGAAATATAGACGATATAAAGGATTCCTGTCTCTTATGATTTGAGAGGAGACTTGTCTAATGAAAACTTGGTGTTACAGAAGACATAAGTTTTGATTGGCTAGTGAAGGTTATTAATGATAAGTGTTAACGATGGTGAGAGGAGTTTGGCTGGCTGGATATAGATAACGAAACAGTTTATTTAGCCAGAAAAACACAGATACAGAGTGGACAATACATATCAGAATGTTATCACTATTATCAGTATTTATTTAACTTATTTACTATTTATTTACATATATATTATAAGTCTATACATATTTTACAGTAGAGTTAATATGATAAGTGAGGATAGCAAGACATGGGTTATCTTGAGGTGAAACCAGAGGATAGACAGTCGGGATATGTCTTGGCGGGAGTTTCACTGTCCTTGGCTTGGCTGCTGTCTCACTTGTCACGTCAAAAACTCTCTCTCTCTCTCTCTCTCTCTCTCTCTCTCTCTCTCTCTCTCTCTCTCTCTCTCTCTTTTGTATATTTTTAATACAATTCTGATAGTGATAAAGGCTGCTGTTGGGTATGTTTGTGTTGAAGCTGCAGCAGAAGGGGAGTACGTGTTGAAAGGGAGGTCAGGCTGGTTTGGTGTTGCTGCTCCTCTCTCCTTTCTTCCTTCTCTCTCTTTCCTTCTTTCCTTCCCTCCTTTCTTACCTCCCTACAACCCTCACCCTCACTCTTACCTTCCTTCAACCCCGTCTCCTTTCTCCCGTTCTTTCTTCCTTATCTATTTTTCTCGTCTCTCCGTCCTTCCTTCCTTCCTTCTCCGCCTCACTCATTACTTATTTATGTGAAGCTCAAGCAGAGGCAGAGTATGCAGGACTTACTTAAAGGTCACGAGACTTCTTGATCACACAACTTATATAACCCGATGTACAACACGGTGTATTTATCTTCTCTCTCTCTCTCTCTCTCTCTCTCTCTCTCTCTCTCTCTCTCTCTCTCACCTTCACAACAGCAGATAAGGATGAACGGGACTTGGTGTGTATGTGTGTGTGTGACAAGCTCTCGGTAGTGGGATGCGGTAGTGCTAAATGTTACTTATTAACGTCAACTGGACAGTAGTACTAGTGACGAAATCGGAAACCAATACAAAGATTAGTCAGCATAATAGTACAGACGAGTGACTTTGTTAGAAATCTTCCAGGAGTATTCACTGTTAAATGAAGCTTTGTCTAATATAATGTTTCTGTGGTGATGTGAGACCCTTTTACTGAACGTTGTACATAAATAAACTCTTGATTTGTCACAGTGATAGTTTAACGAGTTGGTTAAAGGTTATCTAAAACGATAGTTACTCCATGACCTTTCCTATCACCATGGTCAAGTTCGTAAGATAAATCAGTTTAGTGGTTTGATATAGAACAGTGGGACTTATGAGAGAATATAGAGTGTAACTAGACCAAGGTAAGTTGTTCTTACATCTGATGTTACCTGTAGGGAGGGAGAGTTGATTGAAAGTGATTTGGTTTGGCTACACCTGTTATTATTATTATTATTATTATTATTATTATTATTATTATTATTATTATTATTATTATTATTATTATTATTGGTGTTGATCTCTCTCTCTCTCTCTCTCTCTCTCTCTCTCTCTCTCTCTCTCTCTCTCTCTCTCTCTCTCTCTCTCTCTCTCTCAAACCTTCGGGTGTCTCAGGTGAGGGATTAAGACACCACTCCCTATCTAACACTTCCTCTCTGGATCACTATACCGACTACCCAAGACCAGTAGCTTGGTGAACTTGTGGTGTCCTTGGCGACTACACTGAAACTACTACTGGGATATTATGCATGACTCAAGCTCCTGTATCTCCCCCCACCCCCCACCCCCTCCTCTTCTGGTTTTTCTACGAGTTTTTGAAGTTTATTTTATCTGGGGATGATTTTTTTTTAGCCTTTCGGGGATTCGTCAGACTACAGCGAAGTAGAGAAAATTATTGGTTACAAATTGATGGTTTTGGATGGTGGAGAGACGAACTAACCCTGTCAGTCAGTGTTCTCATGGTGACAGGAACACGGAAACGCCAGTTGTATGTTGTCCTAAAAAAATTAACTCGTAATGTATCACCGCTTAATAAAAACCTCCTTTTATTCACATCATAGCTATTAATTGTACTAGTCTAGGCTATTAGAACCACAGGAAGATGGCGTCACACTAGCGAGGTGGAGAATGTATTGTGCACGTAACAATTTCTGGGGTATTTTTTTTTCTTCAGTAATTGGGGTAAAATTGTTGGTTTACACACGTCCAGGAGAAAACTTTGGCTGAGAACTGCTTCTGCATAATACAGGTATCTAGTTGTTGTGTATTTTGAGAGCTAACAGACCCAAACAGAAGTAAAATATGGGTATTTACTGCATAATGGGATAAAAAATGGGTTAATGAAGCTGAATAAATAAATAAATCTTTGACAAATACTAAAATAATAATAAATATAGGTGATAATAGCGATAAATATGGTGTAAGTTAACTGTACGACCACTTTACCACCAATCAATTAACATTTATCATTTACCAAATACTGTAAACATATAGTGAACATAACCAACATAAGAATGAGTATATGCTCTCACTGTCCTTCAAATGCTATGTAGAAATGTTGGAGTTATAGGGACAATCTTGAACGTAATGTGGAGGCTTGTCTGTTGAGGCGACACACTGGATGCAAGGGTGCGCGCGCATGGCCTCAGTGTCTAGAGGGGTTGTCCGTAAGAGGATTACAATACGAATTTATCATCGTTAATACTCGGTTTGTATATTTACTAATGGTTTATAGAAATATACATACTCTAAGGGGACCGCAAATACGTCACGTTTTATAATGTTCCAATTCTGTTTTGTGTTTAGTATCTTGACTGTTGTTTGGTTTATTTCCTGTTAAGTTTGGTTTATGTTTTTCTTTCCAGATAACAAGGTTTATATTATTGATTTAAAATTCCATCATTATCATTAAATAGCATTAAGAAGGAAATTCTCAGAGTGCAGCTTTAGGAAGACTTGAGATGCGGTAAAAATAAATTATCGGTAATTATCACGAATCATAACATTATTTATCAATGGGTCAATATCATCAATGTTAAAATCCAATGTTTTTTTTATTATTATTTTTTAATTTGCGGTATTAATATGTATCGTAGCGCCTCAGAACGATAGAATGTGGTACTGTGGTACTTGTTCTGTTGAGTGTGGTAATATACTCTCAAAGCCTCACCGCCTCACTCATACATAATGTAATCGTGTTAATTGTGGTAGGGTTGTGGTGGTGGTATGCAGTGATAGGGCTGTGGTGGTGTTAAAATGCAGTGATAGGGCTGTGGTGGTGATAAATTGTGGTGGTATGCAGTGATAGGGCTGTGGTGGTGTTAAATTGTGGTGGTATGCAGTGATAGGGCTGTGGTGGTGATAAATTGTGGTGGTATGCAGTGGTGTTGTGGTTGTAGTGGTGTGCTTGTGGTGATGTTAAATATGGAGGTATGCAGTGGTGTGTCTGAGGCAAAAGGTCACACCCACCCAGCCTGATGTATTACCCACACTGGCGGCCACGATGTTCCTGGGAGGACCTCAACTACACGTTATAAAATATTCTCGCCCAGGAGAACGGAATTGGACACAAGCCGCTTCCCCAACACACACACACACACACACACACACACACACACACACACACACACACACACACACACACACACACACACACACACACACTGGTTAAATTTCTAAGATATATTTACCCACAAATTCCATTACTAGATTAGATAACACAATACTAACAGGTTTAAGTAACAAATATCGACCCTTGTGATGACCTAGATTTCTCATTTGTTTACTTAAGTGTAGTTGATGTAATGTGACGTGCAGTATGTGTGTTAAACTGAACAAGAAAACTTTGGGAGACAGTGTTCAAGACAAAGAGTTCTTCAGTACCTCTTAATTAGACGTTCATGACTGACAGGTAAACGTGTGTGTGTGTGGTGGGGGAATGGTTGACTGCTGAGGTTGGTAAAGAATAGAATATATGTACAGTAATGTAAAAGCATCAGAGAATGAGTTGGAACTGGAATTGGATGGAAGGATTTATGGGTAGTTAGAGGAGAAAGGGTAGGTGGGTGAGGTGGGTGAGGGTGAGGGGTGAGGAGGGTGGGTGAGGAGGTGAGGAGGGGTGAGGGGAGGGGAGTGAGGGAGGGTGGGGTGGAGGTGGGTGAGGGTGGTGAGGGAGGGTGGGTGAGGGGTGGGAGGGAGGTGCGGGTAATTACGAAACTGTTCCCGTAGAAAGATAAAGGTCGTAGCGTTTAGGTTAGGTTATGTTAGGTTAGACCACAACACTCTCTAGGGGGCGCCTGTTGGTAGAACGGTACCGCTCTTGCCTCGTAAGCGGGATGTCACGGGTTCGATTCCCGGGCCGGTGGAAAGTTGTTCGAACACACTTCCTAGCCCCCTTGGTCCCGTATTCAGGGACAAGTTGTTGGAGCTTCCAATAACTTGCTTAGACATAAAACATTGACTCTTCAGGCTTCTACGCCCTTAACTCATGAGACATAAAGGCAAGCATGAACTTAGCATGCTTCCCTGTTGGGCGCTGTAAACGCTTCTGCGCTTCACCTTACACAAGGAAAAAACACCGTCGAGG